AGCCCGGCTGAATGGAAGCCGGTTTCTGGTGTTTTGTTTAGCTTCTTATTTGCAACATAGTACATAGTTGCTTAGAGTTGCAGCTGAGAGGCCGGCAAGTGAGGCGGGGAACGTTGGAGTCCGCAGCAAGCAAGCCTCATGCTCGCTTCAGTGCCTGGCTGCCGGCCGCCATCTTGGCTGACAGTTAATTTGCATATACTCACTGATTAGCCAATGAAAAGGGTAGCGGTCGTACGCTAATTACCATGTTTCTCTTTTATTAGTGTAGATAATTGACATATAACATTGCGTAAGTTTAAGGTACACAGTGTGTTGATTTGATACGCTTATGTACTGCAAAATGATTACTCCAAATGGTTAGCTAACATCTGCACCATATCACAGAATTGCCAGGGCTCAACTTTCTTCTTAATCAACTTAGATTCCTTTCTTCATAAATGTAATTACTACATTGCGTTTACTGTCTTCAACTTCCCCGTCCTTTTCATTTATTTTAAGTGGTTGAGAAAACCTTAGTTCTACTTTAATGCAAATCTCTATCCACCCATGCAGCTAAATGAATGTGGCTGCAACAAAACCCACCAATACACTGTGTCTCATTTTAAATCCAGGGGTAACTATTTTCAAATGACTTTTCGGTATTTTTCAAATCTCATATTAAATCCATTAGTGTATTCTATTTACTTTTTATCCTGAACATATTTTGAGAGTCTGCCCCACTTTTTACTATCTCTGTTGCTACCACTCTTGTCCTAAGTAACATTCTCTCTCTCTTAGATTATAGCCCCTCAATGGCTTCTCTGCTTTACATTTGACCCTCTATAGTTTATTCCAAAAAAAGAGCCCAGAGTCTTTTAAAATGTGAGTCAGATTATAACTTTTCCCCCTCACAACTCTCCAGTAACTTCCCATCTCTCTTAGAGTGGCCGACGCACACTGCACAATATGGCCCTGGCTTTTTAAACCTCATTTCATGCTATTTCCCTCTTGCCAACTGATTTTAGCCACTCTGGCCTCCTGGCTTTTCCTTGAGTATGCTAAGAATAATCTTCATTAGGACCTTTGCACTTCATTTTCCTCTGCTTGGAAGACTTTCTCTGAGATATTCTTGGTCCTTAGCCTTCTTAAGGTTTTTTACCTAGCTGTTTAAAATACCCCTGCCCCTTATGTACCCTTTATCTTTCTTCATAAAATCTATCAGCATTTGTCATACTATAGAATATACTTGTTGGTCCTTTCCCCTTCATTAAAATGTAAGCTCATTGTTAAATCTGCAGCATCCAGGACAGTGCCTGACACTCAGATATTTGTTGAATGAATGAATGAATCATCAGTAAAGTTATACATTGAAATTGTTAAGCAGGATGTAATATGGTTGAGGTAAAAGAAATGGCATATACACTGAGTGGCCAGATTATTATGACCACCTGACGTTTGTAGACAAATTAGCTATAGTTTTGTGCTGAAGTTGCCAGAGGACCAGACCATTATAAATAGGGAAGCAGGTTGTAAATATATATATATATATATATATATATATATATATATATATATATATATATATATATATATATATATATATATATATATATATATATATATATATATATATATATATATATATATATATATATATATATATATATATATATATATATTTACAACCTGCTTCCCTATTTATAATGGTCTGGTCCTCTGGCAACTTAAGCACAAAACTATAGCTAATTTGTCTACAAACGTCAGGTGGTCATAATAATCTGGCCACTCAGTGTATACAATATTAATGCCTTTGTCTTTCATATTGTGATGTTGGAAGGATATATGCCAAAATGTTAATAGTAGTTGTCTTTAGTTAATGGCATTTTAAATTTCATTTTCATAATTGTTTTTCTGAATATTTGGGAAATGAGCATATATTACTGTTATTAGGGTGGCTTGGTTGGTTGGAGTGTCATCCTGTACACCAAAAAGTTATGGGTTTGATTCCTGGTCTGGGCTCCTGCAGGAGGCAACCTATCAATATTTCTTTCTTCCTCCTCCTCCTCCTCCTCCTCCTCTTCCTCCTCCTCTTCTCTCCCTCCAGTCCCTTCCTTTCTCTCTAAAATCAATAAAGAAACAACATATCCTCAGGTGAGGATAAAAATATATATATATATGTATATACATATATATATAACACCTTGAAAAATGATGTGCTTTACTGAAGGACATAAAGGAAATTAAATCATGTAGCAGTAAGTGTTATCACATGTATGATAGGTAGGTACTGGATAATAATTTTAAGAATATTCTTAAAAATAGAAGAAAAGAAAGATTTTACTAGTACTCTAGTAAATGAACCCTCTTAATGTTAAATTCTAAGACAACAAAAGGAAACTTTGTAGTGAAGTTGTGTTTTTTTTTAATCTCTGCTGTCTCATTTGTCAGAATCTCAGTCATTTAAAATAACTTTTATATCCTTAATGGTCTTTTATGTTCATATACTGGGGATGACTTTTTGAGAAACGATTGTATCTTTTTCATCTGTGGGTTCTTACTACCTAGCACAGTACTTGGTATATAATAGGTACTCAATAAATGCCCCCCCCCCCAATTGATCAGTGACATACTGGTCTTTTATTGCTATCTTCATTAGGAAAACTTTGGCTTGGATAGTAAATTACCCAATGCTATAGATAACTTATGTGATAGTTGGGGAGTTGTAGGGAAGGGTGGAGGGAGAGAAAAAAAGAGAAAACGTTGAACAGTGATAGATGGTTCCATTTGAAAAAATAAGTACACACACACAAAATGACAAACTTGCTTTTAAAAAAAATTAGTAGTTACTCATGGGGGATTTTTCCTAATGTCAGGATTTGTTCTTACTCTTGTTGAATTAGGAAAGTATTTTAGCTTTAATATTATGATAACCTAGATATATAAATGTCAGTGCTAATAGCTTAGTATTTTAGTCTTGTATAAATTGATGCCTGTGGTATCTGGACATTTTTTGGCCTTTTCTTGTAAATAAGGTCTTAGTGATGTTTAAGGAATAGCAACTTGTGGTCATAAAAGAAAAACTCCATATTATTCAAGCTAAGCAATATAAATGGGACTCAGAATCCCTGACTAAATAAAAAATCTCCTAGAGAAAAATCTCTTGAGCCTACAAACTAAAGACCTTCAATATAATTTTAAATAAAACCTTTTATGTAAAATGAGAGCACTTTTTAGTTGATAATCAATTGACACTATTATGTAGGCTCACTAGATTTGCAAATTTACAAGTTTTTACAAGTCAGTTGGGTCCCTTCCTCAGGAAATCAGTTTAACTTTTTCCCTCCTATATTGACTCAAAGAACCCAGTTGTCCTTAAATCCTGTGAATATATTTGCCTTATAATTTGACGGCATTGAGTCAACACCCTTATAGGGTTTCTAGTGTTGTAAAGAGAGAAACTGTTCAATAAAGGGTCACAGTTGAAAAAATAGAGTGTGCCAGATGAAACCAGTATTGGATATGAATACTGTGCTTTGCTTTAAAGAACCTACAAGTATTCAAGGAAATAAATGCTTACCCCTTACTTTCGAAATGCATACTTTAGGTTTGGAAAGTAGCTGAGCTGTCTCCTTGTAAAATTAAACCATGGCTTTAAATAAATTAAATACACTATGAAATATTGATATCTTTTAGCAGAAAATTAATTACATATTTATTGAATATTAATATTTATAAAATTTGCAGAACTATTCTAATTATTAAAGTAATTAAACTGTTTCAATTAAATATGAATCTTTCAATTAATCTCTGTTTAAACATAATATACGAAGGAAATCTTTTTTGAGTATCATCAATGTTCCAGAAGCTATAGAGATAATAAGAATGATAGCTCTCATTTTTTGAGCACTTATCAGGTACTGGACATTTGCACTATACATGGATTAATTCTCAAACACTCCATATAAGGTAGATATATGTGTTATTCTTAGTTTTTAGGTTTAGAGACCAAGGCATAAAAAAGTTAAGGAAATTGCCTAAGATTACGCAGTTAGTGCCTAAGCTGGGATATAATACTGGAAGATGAGTCAAACTTAAACATGTTAAAGTATATTGATTGACTCTAATATTTTTTCTCTGTTTCTGTTCACCTTTCTAGTTGATTTGGAGCATATGCGAACAGTAAAACCTGAAAAACACTTGAGGTTTTGCCAAGAAAATGGTTTTAGTAGCCACTTTGTCTCAGCAAAGACAGGAGACTCTGTAAGTAACAATGAAAATGGATCTTATGAGTGAGGTTTTACGTTTATTTATTAATATTCATAGGAAGTGATTTCCATTATTTTTTGCAACAAATTAATGCTTATTGAAGATATAAAATAGACTAGATTAGATGTAACATGTTTATTCTGTTTACATTACTTTTGTAATTCATTTAACATAAGTTTATGGTTGTTTAAGAGTTTAAAAAGAATATAAATCCCCATAATTTCAGCATTCAGAGATGACTGCTAATCTCATATGATGATTCATTCCTTCTAGTCTTCTTTTTCTGATCCTCACAAATATTAGTGCTCCTGCCAGCAGTTTGCATTTGCTGAGTGCCCACTTTGTGTATTTCTTTTTCTAAACTTATTTCCTTAGTGACCTCATCTAGTCTCGTGGCTTTGATCAGACTCAATGTTCAACTGTCCACCTAAGACCTCTACTGAGATGTCTGATAGGCAGTCCAAGTTTAATTCAGGTCCATTGTGAGCTGTTGGTATTCCCTCTTCAAATCTCTCACAGTCTTCCCACTTCAGTAAATGGCAGTTCTATCAATTACTAAATCCAAAATTATATTGGAGTTATCCTTGAACCCTCCTTTCTTTACACCCCAAGTCCTCTTGGCTCTACTTTCAAAATATGTCCAGAACCCGGTGGTGATTTCTTATATTTGCACTGCTACCACTTTGTTTCAAGCCCTCATCATCTCTGACATTAGTATCTTCACTGGTTTCTTTTTTGTACCCTTGATCTTCTCTAGTGAGTACTTAGTACAGCAGCCGGGTTGAACCTATCAAAATAGAAGTTACAACAAGCCACTGTCCCAGGGTTTCCATTTTACTCAGAGTAAAAGCCACAGCCCTTCTGATAGCCTCCCAGATCTTACATGATTTGTAATCTCTGCTTATTTTCTTGTACAATCCATCTCTTCCTCTCCATTCTACCACACTAACTTTCCTGTTTTTCCTTAAACATTGACTATCAGTGAACTATAATATATATTACTTTTTGAGGTGCAAATGACATAAGCCTTTCGGAGTATGTATCTCTTTTTGATTAGAAATCAAAATTAAATTAATAAAATTGTGATAAATATTCAGTAAGTAATCATGAGGTAAGTAGGGATAAGAAAATGATAGTACACTTATGAAGCAAAGACAAGTTATACCTTACAGGTGAACTCTGGATTGGAGTGCTAGAAATCATAACGTAAGCTAACAGTGTATGAAATGTCTGTTTATAGAGAAGTGTTTGTAGACTTTTGCTTATTGATAATGGAGTATACTGCTCCTTCACTCTGAACTGATAAAATACAGTAGGGATTTCTAAGTTGTTCTGCTCAAAAGATGTGGAGAGTTTATTGACTTGAGAGCAGCAAAGATTTTTAAGGTATAGACTAAAGCCAGGTCAAAAGACCAATTTAAAGTTGGCAGTGAAAAACCCAGGTAGTATACTGTATTCTCATTTTCTTCAGCACCTGTAGGTGTTTGTTTTGCTAGTATTTTTTGAATGTGGTCACTGTAATTGTCTTATGTTAAATCTTTAAAATGTAAGTTTTCAGGGATTTATGTTTAGATCAATTTACTGAATTTTATGAATTTGTTCAATTTATGGGTTTAATGACTTAAAAGTTTATTACATTTAAAATTTTGTTGTCTCTGACAAATAAAGCTATTTTTGGAATAACCTGGTGCATCATATTTTGTAATTCTTGCTATTTATCATTGTTTAGAAAGTTCAGTTTATTTGAAGGTAACTTAAGCATGCCTGTTTTAAATCATTTAAACCTATTTTTGGTATGTAGGTATTCCTGTGTTTTCAGAAAGTTGCTGCTGAAATCCTTGGAATCAAATTAAACAAAGCAGAAATAGAACAGTCACAGGTGATTATATTGAACTTTATATTTAAAGAGTAATTTATTTCTTTTTAGTAGTTGGAATAATTAAGTTCTAGTCTCTTCGTGGTTTGATGATTATTCACTGTACTGCACATTATATCTCTGGCTTTACTACTTTAGTGTAAGTTTGTACCCTTAACCGTATCTACCCTGTCCTCCCGCCCCTCACTCCCCAGTAACACCATTTTATTCTCTGTTTTTACAAGTTTGGCTTTTTAAAGTTTCACATATAAGTGATATCCTGCAGTATTTATCTTTCTCTGTGTGACTTACTTCACTTAGCATAATATACTTAAGTTCATTCATGTTGTTGCAAGTGGCTGAATGTCTTCCTTTCTCAGGCTGAATAATATTCCTGTGTGTGTGTGTGTGTGTGTGTGTGTGTGTGTGTGTGTGTGTGTACCACATTTTATTTATCCATTCATTTGTTGTGGGATGGTTAGGTTGTTTCCATATCTTGGCTGTTGTAAAAAACACTGCGATGAACATTGTGGTACATATATCTTTTTGAATTAGTGTTTTCTTTTTTTTGGACAAATATCCAGGAATGGAACTGTTGGATCATATGATAGTTCAATTTTTAGAGGAACCTCCATAGTGTTTTTTATAGTGGCTGCACCATTTACATTCTTACCAACAGTGCACAAGGGTTCTCTTTTCTGCACATCCTCGCCAGGACATCTCTTGAGTTTCTGATGATAGCCATTGTGTGAAGTGATAGCTCATTGTGATGTCAATTTACATTTGATTAGTGATGTTGAACATCTTTTTCATGTGTTTGTTGGCCATTTGGATGTAAAGGACTAGGGGGGGAAAAGACAAAGAAGTTCAGGTTTTATATTTTTTGTTTATATATACAAGGTGTATATTAAAACAAAAAATATATATGGAAAAAGAGGAAGGGAGGGAGGGAGGGAGGAAGGAAAAGGAGAAGAGAGAGAGAGGTGGGGGGGAGAGAGAGAAGAGAGAGAGAGAGAGAGATGTGAATGGTTTCTGTGGGTTTTATGCCATTTAAAAGATACCTGAGGGGATTTGGTGTAATGTTTGAAAGTGTTTTTATTCATTTTATAGGAGATGGTAGACTCACTGAATCACGTGGAAATTGATGCTACAGTAATTTAGTTTGTGACAAATATTTATAATAAGGCTGTAGTCTTAATTCCATTCACTGATTTATTTAAAGAGATTCTGTTATTTTAGTTCTAACCTAGATCATTACTGTTTGGGAGTCATAAAATGACTTATCAGCACATTGTGCAAGTTTTATAAGGAAGAGATAGGGGAAGAAAGAGAAAAGAAATGGAATGTAGTTTCTGAACACAGTAAACATTTTTTGAGGGTCTACTTTGTGCCAGGGACCACAGAGATGAATAAGTCCTTGTCCTCAAGGAACTCCCAGCACAAATGGGCAGACAAGTATTTAAACAATTAAGTATACTCTAGTTGCATTTCTCACAATTCCCAATTTAATTGATAGTTTCATTTTCATTGTTTATTTGTTCTCTTTTCTCCCCTGCCCCAACCATTCTCCTCTAAGATAGTATAAAAGTTGGGAAGGGTTGTTAACAAATGTGCTAGTTTCTGAGATTGTTCAGAATTTTTTGTTTACAAAGTAGTCAAACCTTTACGAGAAAAAATAAATTTACTACTGCTGTTCTCTCGGAAGTTTAGTATTCAGCTCCTTAATAATGCATTAGGTAGTCTGAAACGAAAATGTACTATCTTGTATGTTATCTCTCTCTGTCTGAATTGCAAGGATGTTTTGCCATATATACTTGGTGTTCAAAGTTCTTAATACATTCTTAATACATTTTAAACCTTGACAGTTTCACTTGCCAGTTAATAAACTATGAATTTCTGTTTGGTTTAAATTAAGTATGCATTAGTTTTTTCTAAACAAAAATTTCATATCTGAGATACTCACTAAACTTGCTAAAAATATATATTCTTTATGTGACCTCTGAATACTTTCATACTCTATATAAAAGTTTCTAGTATAGGGCATATAGTAGGCATGTTTAAGATTTTAATTCTGTTTTACTTAGTGTATAACTGTAAACACAAATGCCTTTAACCCCTGATACTTCTCTTTTCTGTTGTTTTTTTTTCTGAATACTGACCTTCCTTAAGGAGCCATAAGGAACTTAGATTCTTCTTACCTAGATGTTAATATTTTTGTATCATTTTGTCAAATAAGTTTACAAAGACTGCACTAGTGTTTCTTTATTTTTTATCCTAAACATCACCTGTCTTCCTTATAGAAAATATTTACCCACTTTGTTCATACTAATCTAAACCTCAGATATTGAACATTGCTTAATGAGTTCCATATCATATCTTTCTCTAATCACCTTTTAAATTTATTTTTTCATATAGTTTCAAAACTAGATGGGACCTTAGAGACCATGTAGATAAACCTTTTTTTTTAAATAGCGTAGTCCATCATGAAGAACAAAGAGGTGAATAACTTGCCTAAAGCGACGAATGTTAGTGGCAGCGCATTTTGTGGAAGAACAGGAAGAGTAGCTGTCTTTAAGTTCCTACAGTGTACAGAGTACCATAGTTTTAAATTGCTGTATCCATGCTTTAAATGGCAATCTATGATCTTGTTATACTTTATATTATGGATGTATAGCAGACATATGTTCTTTAATAGTTTACACATCTGTTTTCCATGCTGGACTCTTACGTGTCTCAAAAACAGAGATCGTGTATTATATTATTTATCTGAATGTCTTCAGTACCTAGAATAGTGATTGTCTTTGAATGAATGATAGTGGCAAGTGTTTTTAGCCTTTAAGGTATGTTTACTCTATATCCTGAGCGTGTCAAATTATGACTTTTCAATGATAAACATGTAACTACTATCTGTATTAAGACACAGTTGCAGAGTAGACCAAATTTATTTTTTGTGTCTTCCCAAGGGTCCATCTCTACTCCTTATACCTTACTTCCCCAGCTCCAGGGTTGCTTTCTTGCTTTCCGTCTAGATAGCTACCACTTCCACTTCCAGGACCCACCGCAGTTACTCTCTACATAATAAGGGCTAAGCTGGTGTTCAAATAAAAGTTGATGTTTTGTAGGTAACATTTTCTCTGAAAACATCAATAATGACTTGTAAACGAACTGACTCCTGTGAAATCACCTACCATGAAGTTTATGGCCTGGACATTCTGTTTTGCTACTCCTAAAAAGCAAAGCCTTGGTTCTGGCTGCTAGTTCAGAAACTTTGTACAAAGCTTTATGTCAAACAACGAAGGCCCCAAAGAAAGAAAGATGTTGCCTTTTTAGTTCTTCATTAATTGGATGAAAATTAATGCTGAATATCCAAGCCATTTATATTAGTCAGTACATTGACCAAATATTTTGACCGTAGGTCAGTAACCTGGTTGTGTTTATAGGATAGGGTTTAAACCAACATTTTGGAGGATTGATGAGTTGCTTACTGATTATGAAAATCCCTTTTCTTTATTGTAACCCACAGTTTGTCATGAAACAATTAGGTTCGGTGGAGGGCAGATAATGGTGTTCAGTGTTTTACTGACATACTCCTCTTGCAGTACCTCACATTGCAGTTAGCAATGCTTCTGCCCAGTAAATCGCAGTCTTGTCCAGCAGTTAAGCTGCTGCTGGGAATTGGGGCAGAGCCTGCTTAGGCCAATATACTGTACCACCCTACTCATTTACTCCTAGTTCATTCAGTCTTTATAAGTGCCATTGCAACCAGCAGCCTTATTAACATGGTTTTCTATATGTGTTAATTATTAGATGCTGTTATGAAATAAGAGTTTTCTGAAATAAGATATTTGAAATTATGAAAGAAAAAAAAGGCAGGATAATTTGAAGTTGAACAATTTAGAGAGCATGTTATCTCTGTCATACTCATCACATGTAGTCTTTTTAAGGGTTATTGCAAACAAAAACCTAACACAGTAGTTTTGATTCTTTAGTTTAGCAAAACTCTTAGATAGTTGAGAAAATAGCTGTTGTGCTTAAATACTGTATGTCATTTTTTTAAATGACAGAAAAGTGCATTTTGAACTTGTTTTAATTTTATATGAAATACTAGAGGCCCGGTACACAAAATTCGTGCACTGGGGTGGGGGGTGTCCCTCAGCCTAGCCTGCACCCTCTCCAATCTGGGACCCCTCGGGGGATGTCTGACTGCCGGGGATCAGGCCTAAACCGGCAGTCGGACATCCCTCTCACAATCCGGGACTGCTGGCTCCCAACCGCTCGCCTGCCTGCCTGCCCGATTGCCCCCAACTACCCTCCCCTGCAGGCCTGGTCCCCCCCAACTGCCCTCCCCTGCAGGCCTGGTCACCCCCAACTGCCCTCCCCTGAAGGCCTGGTCGCCCCCAACTGCCCTCCCCTGCAGGCCTGGTCACCCCCAACTGCCCTCCCCTGAAGGCCTGGTCGCCCCCAACTGCCCTCCCCTGCAGGCCTGGTCACCCCCAACTGCCCTCCCCTGAAGGCCTGGTCGCCCCCAACTGCCCTCCCCTGCAGGCCTGGTCACCCCCAACTGCCCTCCCCTGAAGGCCTGGTCGCCCCCAACTGCCCTCCCCTGCAGGCCTGGTCACCCCCAACTGCCCTCCCCTGCTGGCCCAGTCACCCCAACTGCCCTCCCCTTCCGTCCTGGTCGCCCCCAACTGCCCTCCCCTTCCAGCCTGGTCACCCCCAACTGCCCTCCCCTGCTGGCCTGGCCGCCCCTAACTGCCCTCCCCTGCTGGCCTGATTGCCCACAACTGCCCTCCCCTGCTGGCCATCTTGTGGTGGCCATCTTGTGACTGCATGGCGGCAGCCATCTTGTGCGAGTGTGTGGTGGTCAATTTGCATATTACCTCTTTATTATATAGGATGGGATGACCATGGACATTAGGGTTGTGAGGATTGGGGCAATTAGCATCAAAAGAATATCTTTGAGCCATAACTGGTTTGACTCAGTGGATAGAGCGTCGGCCTGCGGACTGAAGGGGGTCCCAGGTTCGATTCCGGTCAAGGGCATGTACCTTGGTTGTGGGCACATCCCCAGTGGAAGGTGTGCAGGAGGCAGCTGATCCATGTTTCTCTCTCATCGATGTTTCTGACTATCTCTCTCCCTTCCTCTCTGTAAAAAATTAAAATATATTTTAAAAGAGAATATTTTTGACAAATAGTAAATGTTATTAAATATAAAATTTGTAAATCCTACATGGCTTCCTCTGATATATATATGCATTCTCTTCCCTACCTTCAAAGAAAATTAATTACTCCTTCCTCTCTATTACCACAGCATATAGATCTACTAGTACAGTACTTACCTTGTATGACAATTATCTGTGAATGTATTTCTCTTCCCATGGGGTCCCCAGCAACTTGTGAACAGATGCTGTGTAACTTAGCTGTGCATTCCCATTACAGAGTGACTGGCACAGGGTAGATCCTCAGTAATGTTTGTGGAAGGAAATGGAATTAATACTTTTACTGCATGTTAGCATAGAAAAGCACCATAATTCTTGGTTGTTCTCTGAATACTGGGAATTATATATATTATGTGTAATTGTGATATCAAAACTAGAACTCACAACTTGCCTGGGAGGAGCAGACATGTCTATTTTAACAATTAAGTGGAATTACAAAGAATGATATTTCTTGGATCTTTGCTTGCTTTCCTTCCTTTTATATGTCTATATTCTGCTGTTTTCTTTTGAGACATGTTTAAATTTATGTGTATATTCCTTTTTCTCCTTTGGTGTTCCCTTCTATTTTCAGTCATTGAACATGCTTTCCATTTTTTCTTTTCTTTCTTCTTCATCTCGTTTATGTTGTACGGAATTGACAGCGTATTGTCAGGGCAGACATAGTGAAGTACCCGGAAGAAGATAATCAACATTTCACCTCTGCTCAGACTAGACTCTGTTCAGTACAGTAGTGCAGGTATAACGGATAAATTACTGCAATTTGGGGGAGGAGGGTGGTGAGAACTAGTGAATGCTATCTTGTTCTTTCCCCCTTATGAATAGAGAAGTTCAAATGATTATTGTACATTATTGGAATTAATATTGCATACATCCTGTTTTAGAACTTTGAAATATTGATCCTTTGCCAAGAGACTTACGAATGAAATAAGGAATTGGGAACAAATTAAAATAACATTTCAGTTACTTTCACACGTATTTGTCTTTATGGTTGTGTTTATTACATGTGCAGTGAAGTGGAGAATTGAGGCAGTTATTTCATTATTCATTCCTTACCATTTTTCCTGAAATAGCCTGGTAATTGAAAGAGTACTTTTAAAATTTGTCTTGAATTACTCTTCTTTGTCTGCTTGTGTGTGCAGACTTAGTAAAAGAGTTGAAAACAGTAAAGGATTTGTTTTAATGTAAATTATTACCTAGAGATGAATATTAGGGCATATTGCTAAATTTATCATTATCCTTGAATGTGGCTCAGGAAGAAGGAAGGAAGAATTAAAACTATCTTTCAGTTTAAATTATTTTAAAAATATGAGTATGCAGTAATTTTCTAAATTCTCATTCTGTATTTTGTTAGTCATTATTTATAACCCATTAGTGAGCAATTTGGAAGTAAGTTAGGGATTTGGGAGGAACGTTTTAAAAATTGGCAACATTTTAAATATTGAGTTGCTCAAAACATTTCTCCTTTCTATGTGACTTTTAACATTCACACCTCTTCTCACTAACTCACTAATTACTATAAACATTCTTAAAAAAGCTATGGCTGGGGATAGTGGTTTATGGAAGTATTAATAAATAATGACTTTTTTACTTTGAAATAACAAACCCTTGTCTATCAGTTAAACTATGTAAATGATTAATTTTAAACCTTTGCTTTAAGTTTTAACCAGGGTTTAATATTTTATATTAATTTGTCAGGTTTTTATTAGACTTGTGATAACTTCAAGCTTATGTCATAAAACCAGGAAAGACTCAATTAAGGACTTGCAATTAGATACTTAAAACAAAACAAAACCCAACAACAACAAGAAAGCCCTCTTGCCCGCCAATCCCAGCTCTGCTCTAGTTTGTTCTGGTTGGTTCTTTTAATATCAGCTCCTGCTTCATTTATGGTGTCTATCATCAGGGGTTCGCCAAAGTTCAGAAAATGAAAATATACTGTAAGGAGCCCTTTCTGAATGTTCTGATGCCCTGATAATGACTCTGTTTTCTTTTATGACAGAGGGTGGTGAAGGCAGATATTGTAAACTACCACCAGGAACCCGTGTCAAGACCTGTGAACACTCCTCGAAGCTCTATGTGTGCAGTTCAGTGAGCGCGTGGTCCTGTGTTGGTGTGTTGGCTGCCCTGCCTCTGTGTGGGCTGAGGACCTGGAGGAGCTGATTTATCAGGGGCCATCTCTGTAGCTCAGTTAACCCTTCCCTCCCCGCTGGCTTTCCCTGCGTGTGCTGCTCCCGGCCACAGGCAGCTCCCGGACTGGAGAGAATTCCACTTTGGGACCACACACTTGGAATTCAGATGGAAAGCCCATTCTCTGGAGTTAGACTGCCTCAATGAAAGAGAGTATGTCGGTTCTCTTTCATGTCTTCACTTCTTTTTTCCCAGATGGCAGTTTTTTAAAACAAGTATGGAAGCTATCCAAGTCCTGATCCTCAGGCGGATTTTGCCACAGCACAGTTTCATTCTCTTATCTGAACTCATACATGGCAAACATGCTTCAGAGTACAGACGGTTAACAAGTAATATATTTTATCTACAGATGCTAAAGAAGGCAACCTTTTGCTGTCTATCGTGAGAGAAAATATATAAAGCTGTATCTAACTGAAAATGCTGGAAATAAAGCTGTAATAGAAATATTTTTTCCATTTTTTTTAACAAAGGACCTAAACTGTTTATATTGTAACTGTAGCTCACAGAGTGGTGAGTATTGCTGTTGTACTTTATCACTGTGTCATGGTCATGTGCATTGTGGAATACTCAGGTCCGATGCTGCATGGACTTGGATGGATGCATCCGAGTACCCCAGGACAAGTTAGGCCTGTTGTTGGATCATTGTGGATCAGACCTGTACCTGATGTTCAGATGTTTTTCTCCTGCAAATAAATTTATTTAAATTACTTTTGGGGGGCGAGTTTTCTTTTAGCTATCTTCCTTTTAGTATAGAACCAATGTGTATTTGGCTGTAACATCAGTGATCATGTACTGATTCAAGCCCAGACTCTGCAGCCTGACATTCCAGAGGCTCCACGGCAGTGTGCGCCTCTCTCCCTTTCTCAGCCTCTGTGCAGAGAGCCCTAGCCTCCCTCCTGTGAGCTGTGTGATGCTCTGCCCTCCTGTCTCTCTGCACAGGCTCTCCCCATCATCCGGAACCCCTCCATCCCTCCCTCCAAGTGTCTGCTTCTGCCATCCAGCCTGTGGTCACCATGAGGAAGGCTCTGTGCAGGGCACGCTTGTCTCATGTTTTCTGAGCTAAGGCGCAGTGCCTGGCCTGGTGGGTGCTTAGTATTTGCCACATTGAAACGAGTGAATGCCGCCCCTCCACAGTCTCCTCATCTCCAGTCTCCTCATCTCCACAGCCACAAGTTCCCCATGAGCACCTCTCGATGGCCATTGCCCCTGCCTGCCTGAGTCACAGTCATTCGTGTCCTTGTGGTTTACTGTCTCACAGGGCACAAGCTTGCGCAGGGCGGAAAGGGTCTCAGGAGTGCCCAGGCAGGCAGCCTTTCACAGGGAGGTTTGCTACAAGTGTGTGCAGAGATTTTGGACACCCTCACTTTATAGCTGTAAGAAATTTTAGAAAACTTGTTATTTCATATCCTGTGTGACTAAGAAAACTGAAGTTCAGAGAGAAGAAAGAACTCGCCGGAGGCCATGGAGTCACAGAGCCAGACCCCACGGAAATCTCCGGTCTCTGGACCAGGGTGGCACTTGTCAGGAGTGATTTGAACTTAAGCAAGTTTAGAAATTGTGACTGCTCTACTCATTAGGCAGTGGGTCCAATCCTATTCTACTTTGGTTTTTATATTTTTCATTGTATTAGGCATCCCTTTCATATGCCTTTCAAGGCTATAATCCCTTC